TCAGGTATAGTATTTCAAGGAACAGAACGCCAAAACTGTCGACCATTCTACTACACAGCACATTTAACACAGTCCAAGAGAAACCACAGCCTTTGTAACCCTCGAACTATTCGTTCATTCGTTCATTCCTGTAAATGTTTATTCTCGTTCGCCAGAGTAGATTCCACGCTACACTCCAAACAGCTGGTCATGTTTGAGAACGATTCAAATCAATGAATAGCAATATTGAAAAATAATCATAATAACAAACACTTGACATAAAAGTAGACCAATATCAACACAAATAAAAGTATTAGAACAATTAGAAGTGTAACGTTAATAAACTGTATTAGTTGTTGTAGTTTTTTACTTCACAGTACAAATGTGCTTGTATGTGTACACCTGGCTCCTGTTATTTAGTTGCGTATAGGTTATTTATGCCTTCCCTTTTGATATCTACATCAAAATCAGTACCCCCCCCCCAAAAAAAACAAATCAACGCCGCTCTTCTGTAATGTGTGTTTTCGACATTTCACTAATTAAAAACATTAATTTGCGAACAGCTTGTAACATTGCCCCCTGTTCGGTGTGCATAATCTACTGATGGTGATATAAAATTGAACACAACAACATATTAAGTAAATCAACTAAATGTGTAAAACGCACTAACGACCGAAACACCCTTACTACCTGTTTGGTGAACTTGTTCATTTATTAGTAGTATGATCTAGATTTTTTTTAATAAACGATGAGATACGAGAAGAAGTTTTCTCTTCGATAGTTGATGTGGGGATGGACGATCGTAGAAATAATTAATGTTGTGATGTTAACATTGATGTTATTATTCACAGATATTGGCCGTCCAATAGCAGTCATCGTAGTAGTTAGTTTGTTGATTATTACTGCAATCATTTTGATTGCCGTATGGTATTATCGAAGGTAGGAACAACTCGTCAATATTACGTAGAACATTCATTTACTGTAAGTGTATACACATTTGCAACTAGTATTTAAATCGTTAACAGGAACAAAAAACGGAAAAAGAAATCTGAGACTCAGACTGAAATGGAGAACCGGGAGAATGTTGACCCGAAACCGAAAGAAGTGACAGAAAACTACGCCGTTACAGATAATCAAGAGAACGATAATTATTACTGCAGGGTATCGACAGAGAACATGGCCGAATGTGAAAATGTCGGTTATCTTATCCCATACTCCGACTACGGCATCAGGTAAAACTTGACTAGAACCCTCTGATCTTGAGGTTTTTCAAATCCGACTACACAGCTATATATTGATGAGTGTATAATGTATATATTTTCCCCAAATTCTTAAAATTCCAGAGAGGAAAAACAACAACTTGGGACTGAAATTACGGAGATTGAAAAAGAAAAAGAAGAAAACGCCCATGCTCTTACAGGAAGACAAAATTCAAGGACACCGATTTTGTCACAAAGCACTGGTCAGGAATGAAAGACGGAAATGGCTGAAGTGGTTACACGAGTGGTACGAGCTCTGCTGATAAGTATTCCGAATTTACGGTGGCTTTAACAGAACGTTTAATTATAAGGTTCTGCTCCAACACCCTTTGGACACTGGCACGCCGGGTACATATAGTGGCGAAAACAAAAATCACCGATTACGGAAGATGGCGTGTAGTTCAAGTTTTGTCAGTTTGTTAACGTGTTCGGGCAATGCCTATCTACAACTTAGAATTACTGATATTTATATATATATATATTCTAAAATGTTTATTTTTCATAATTCATCGATTTCCAATAAAATAATGGATACTTCACAATTTATATAGGAAACATATCTTGACGAGTAACAATTTCCTTCATTGTGCGAGTGCGCCCTCGTCGACAGAATACACGTAATCGTTTGTTTGTGTTATGATTTCATTTTCATTAAGTGTGGCCCAAGCATTCCCAATGATATTTTAATCAAACCTTTTTGCCTAAAATTAAATACAAAAATGCATCTTGATATATGAGTTAGATGTTCTGTCTGTGCGTGAATGTACCCTCATTGGCGGGATATTTGAAGTTATTTGTTTATATCACGATGATTTTGCAAACGAACATTGTTGCCTGAAATTGAGTGGAAAATAAAACGTTTCGTCTACACTTTTGTTCAATCAACGCAAAATCATTAAATACAGAATGGTGTCAGTATAGGCGTGTTTTCTACAAAAGTCACTCGTTGTACTTGTTGATTTGCGCAACATCCAAATTCGCCATCTTGTTTATATGAGACCATATATCTCGCGCATGCGTGGCGCGACGACTACCACCCTTTAAGGTAATATCGTTAAACTGTAACAATTATAGCATAATACTCCTTTCACTTTGAGCACAAGTTTTGCATTAAAGTATGTTTTGTGTGAGTTTTGAAATATTGCAGTATTTCACGGTCGTTACAGTGGAATCTAGGGCAAAAATATCTTGTCTAAAATGTCAACTTCTAAAATTGGTTTATCAAGTTATTAGCGGATTTATATACATTAGCGAGATTGTTATTGGTTTGAAACGTTGTTGTCGAAATTGATCACATGTTGGAATACCGGTATTCATTTAAATTAGAATTTATGTATTATTCCGAAGCATATCTTAATTTCATACTCTCCATGGGCATAACCATAGAAACGATTCACCGACGTGCTGCTTACCGATGACTGTTCAGGTCAAACTTGTGGAATTGTTGAAAATTGTAATTTCACAGAGGGTCGGCAAGGGGTATTTTCGTAAGCTGTAATCAATTTTTTTTATTTTCGTAATACATGTAATATAATTTAAATAAATAAAAAAAAAGTAAATTCGTAGACATGGGAAATGTATAAAATGTAATCTGCTATTTCATTCGTCCGTAATTTGTACAAAGATCTTTTTGTAAGCGTATTTTCTATTATCCACATTGAATGTTGTAATTCGTACGCAATTTTCAATTTTGATCCTTAAACACAAAATATCAAATATATTATGACAAGTCATTGTCAATGACACGTCCCCGTTCCGTTCATATTTGAGTGACGTATACATTCAAAGCAGATCATGACCGAAATGCACCTGCATATGTACAACACATTGTGCTAAATCTGAACAAAATCCATCCATGCATGACTGAGATCCGGTTCTGGAATTGTGAAAATACGTGATTTTGATGCATTTTCGGCCTTAAAATGGCCATCATTCCGCCATTGTTAAGCAGATCATGAAACAAAGGCACATATCTATTTGTGACATGATGTACCATGTGTGTGTGAAGTTTGAACTTGATCAATCCAGACATGTCTTGGATACGGATCCAGAACTGAATTCTTTAACAAAATGGCCGCCAGTCAGCCATTTCGAACTTGATCCGAAAAAAAAAGACGTGCATCAAGGTCCTATTATGTTTAATGTATGTACCAAATTTGAACAAAATCCATCCATGCATAACTGAGATACGGGTCCGGAATGGTGAAAATGTACGATTTCAATGCATTTTCGGCCTTAAAGCGGCCGCCATTTGGCTATCGTTAATGAGATCATGAAACAAATGCACATACATATTTGTGACATGATGTACCTTGTGTGTGTGAAGTTTGAACTCGATCAATCCAAGCATGTCTCG